TAGAAAACTAGACCAGAGAGGCAGCACTCTAACAATATAGCATATAAAAAAAAAAAAAGCTTTTCACTGATAGTCACATGAAGTTTAAGGATCATTTCTGCGACTAACTTTTGGTTCGTTTGGACGCTACGATGAATTAGATGAATTTAACGTCACCATGGTAAATCTAAACAATGACACACTAAGTTACAAACGTACTGGTTTCAGTGGAGGGTGTCGCCTTAGCACCCAAATTTAAGAGTGAACTTCTACATAAACTGGTGCAACAGACCACCAATCCTGAACTAGTCTCTGATTGGTTCAAAAAGCCCATCAGGGCATCATGTGAGGGGGGGGGGGGGACCCACCACAGCCTGAGGCGCATCGATGTTGTCTGGGTTTCCAGCCTCTCCGCTTCCAGAGCCGTTCTCCTTGTCCTTCTTGCGGTTCTTCTTCTCCTTCTCTTTCTTTACTGATGCGGATCCACTCTCAGCCTCTGGTTTTTCAAGAAGCAAAAGGAGCGGTTAACATTCCTGCATGAGTTTAAGTTCCTGCTGTGTTTAAGCCAAGAGGATGCAGGGTCACCAACTCTGTTTTAACTGAGCAGCAGTTGATGAATAATTATACATTAACTTCATGGATTGGGGGGGGGGGGGTATGGTCAAATGAAGAAAGGTAAGATGAAGGGGGAAGACAAATGAGAAATACAGAAAGATGTTGAAGGATCGGGACTGTAGGAGAAGAAACAAATACATCCGAGAAAAAAACAAAAAAAAGGGATACAAGCTCTGAAAACAGAAGTAAGTGAATCCTGAAAGAGTTCAATCTCACCTGGTGGGTTTTTGAGGATGAACGTGCAGAGTTTGTGTCTGGTGTCGAGCATGCCGCGGTATCCACAGGCTTTACAGGAATTGCCAATGGTTTGTTTCTTGGGATTGATATGCTACAAGAAAAACAAATTCAATCTTATTTAGAACAAAATCCCTATTAGAAAGAAATACTTTTTCTCATTTTTAGCTAATCTAAACCTCAAGAAACCTCTGTTATCCTCTTAATCCCCCCCCCACACACACACACACACACACGATGCTGTGAAATACTAACCAGATCAGTTTCAGGGTTGTCACACTCGGGACAGAGCACAAATTTTCTGATGAACCCATCAAGCATGTCCTGCAACTTGTTCGCCTCGTGGGATCCGTTGACGATGTAACGGTCGTTTTTGGTATCAAACTGGGTCTGCGCACCGAGTTCACAACCAAAAAACTTGGTCGGGTCTGCGGAGAAGATCAGAAGACGCACAATGATGAGAAGAGAAGTGAGGAGAGTGTAGCATGTTGTCAGACAAAAGCTAGAGGTGGGTAAACTCAGAAAGTGGATGGCCTGTCTGTAATTATTAATGAAAGAAACTTAACAAGTCATGACAGAGTCAATATTTATAAAAGACCTGAAGTTAATCTAGCCTTTGGTTGATGGTGAGGCACAGAGTGTTACTTACATGTTGGAGGCCTGTTCAGTGCCTTTGCAACATCAACCATGTTGACAATGACCGTCTTGATTCCATTGCCTTTGCCTTCAACCTGCACGAAGAAAAACAAAAAAAAACATGTAGACCATCAACATCCAAACCCAAGAGGTTAGAGCTGTGTTCTTTCCTTTTCTGTGATAGCTTTTTAAATATCTGAAACTGTTTTAACAAACGCAGAAATCTGCATCGGTGGGTTACCTTGGCAATCAGACGGGGCATCTTGTAGCGATAGAACTGGTCTGACACGCTGCGGTTGACGTTGACAGACATTTTGGCTGGATGTTAGCACTATCAGTAAGATAAAAGGATCTTGGTTGGGGATTTTTCGGGATCTTCTGTCTGGAAAAGAGGGGATGACATAAACGACTGCAAGCGCGCTCGGTCTCTGACATGAAAAACGCTGTGCCGCTGTGGCCGCAAGCTCCTTGCTTGAAGGCTAGATTTCCACCACACAGGTTCCAACGGCTGCGCAACAGCTCTGAAAGAGGAGAGGGACGAGAACCATTAATATTCAAAAAGCATACAGGTGGAGCCTACTTGAATAAATAGACACCAGGATTAAATTTGTGTAACTTTTTTTTTTTTTTTTAAATCAGCACAAAATGGTGTTTTCCACGACATCTTTTTAAACAAAGCTGTTTGACAAGTTTTCTCCAATATTCAGAGGAATCCTGGAGATAGTTACTAAATGATATATATACTGGTACTTGTTGATACTTTTTTAGTCTCTGATCTGGTTTCCAACATTCCTGTTGACAGGCAAATCTAAGCAAACTAAAAAGTTTGACCTTTTGACAGTTGGTCAGGAGATATCAATAACTTGAGTAATTCAGGCTAGTCGTACTTATTGGTATTTACAGCCCTGATTTGATTATCTCATGTATTTAGTAATTAGTCTGGTTCAACATCATTAATAGATTCCTTTGCTGAATGATGATTCTTGATGACTAACACCAGTCTGGACTGAGTTATGACACAGGTATGTCAATCCAGAGACTCTCAGACAGCTGAGGGATATTTCAGACTTCCTTAAACAGAAATGTCTCAATTTAAACAAGTTTGGGCAGATATATATATTACTGCATTGTCGGATAGATTACAAGTTTAAAAAGACTGGGTAAAGCCTTCTGAGCTCAGAAATACTGCTGACGGGATCAAATCCTGCAAATATCCATGTGATCCAACAGTGAACAAACACGACAGATTAGCCGGAAGAATAAAAATAAACCCCCGGCCAGTAAACTGGCAGCTTTTGTGGGCATATACGTGCAAAAATTGTTTTGTGAAAGCCCTTTGTCTTACATGAGGGCCCCTGGCTTTAGTCGCATAAGGCCTTCTCTTGTTATTAGGTCAAAAACAGGAGGCCTAGCAGCTGCCAAACATCTATCCCCCTGCTGACGCCTTTAATACCAAATAGCTTGTCTGTCTGTACACGTTATTTTCTCAGCCGTGTCAGTTTGATTCGACATGAAAATTAATCACAACTGGTGTGACAGTGTCCAGGGGGCTGAGCTGCTTCAGAAGGGCAGAGGTCGAGCCTATTTCAGTAGGAGGCTAACGTAGCTTAGCTGGCTGCTTGGTGCAGAGTGCGTCATACAGTCACTGCAAACACGAGTGACGGGACTGGGAGACGCCATTTTGATACAGTGGCAACAGAAAACATGCCATATTGCACAATAAACGCTGACGATAGACAAATTAAATGCATCCACTATGTAAGCATGGTTGTCTTACACTTAAACACGTCATGAAACTTACCGTTTTCGCAAAACAAAGACATAAACACAACGCTGATCGTCCAAGAGCCGCAGTGAACGGTGGTCGATAGCTGGTGCTGGTGTAGAATTGATTGCAGCAGGGCTTCTTGATGGATATGTGGCTCTCAAAGATGCACAGTCAAACACCCTAAAGCGTCCAAACAGTGCAGGTGCCAGGCTCAGAGACAAACGGGGGTGATCTGGAACGTCCTCGGGGTTTTGGCGACCTTTGAAAGAAGAGGCGTATTGTTATCTCCCAAAGCGACAAACTGCAGTCCACCCACCCCCCCAAAAAAAAAAAATCGCTAACGTTAGCATCATCACCAGGTGGGACTGTCGGGTGTTTCTTTAGAACGTGGCCGTAGTCATAGCAACTATCGAACGTTCCGTTATAACGTCATAGCAACAATCGAACGTTCCGTCATATCGATATGTAATCAGATATGTGGCGTTCACGGCTACGAGCTGACTGACCGAAGTTACCGTTACACGTGTTACGTCGTCAAATTCCCCCTTAAAAAAAAACACAAAAAAAACACTCGTGTTGGCGTTTAAAAGACGTTTTCGTGGAGGTGTCGTGGTCCCTTCAAGGTGATAACGAGTAAACTCCACGACTAAATATAGAGTCGCCGTTGTAGTCTTGTCCGTTACATAAACAGCCTCGGAGCTCCAGGAAATAGCCGGACCCCCCCCCCCTGAACGTCCCACAGCAGCTAACGCACTTAGCCGAACGCTGACGACGACGCGGGTGAGGAACGATAAAGGGGATCGAGTTAGTATCTTTAACATCGGTTAGTTAGCTACATTTTCTCAGTGTTAAATAATCACCATCGATGTGAAATCCATGTCAGGCTGTGTTGAGGGATATGTGATGAAATTATTGCGCATCTTACCTCTCGAATGTTCTCCAACTGCTGCTACTCACGTCGCTTTAACTGACAAACGTCAAGCTCGCGGTTACGCATAGATCGTTAACTTCCGGTGGTGGCCCCCTTTTCAAAATAAGGACAATAATTTAAAATATTTTTTTATTAGGTCGATTTTTCGAGAATACACAAAATGTCACCCTATTCTTGACATTTCAACCTTTTTCCTCAAACTGCATAGTGGGGAAAAACAACCTCTCTCCTATATTTATTTGTTTCTCATGTCTGGTCCCAATCCTTTTAAAGAAAAAGTCACCTTAATCTTGTGATTTTGATTTTTTTTCTCAACATTTAAATTTTATCCTTGAAATCGAAAACATTTCAAATTTCTTCTTGACAATATGACAACATTTTGACTTTATTCTCCAAATTTTTACTTTTTTCTCAACATTTCGACTTTATTCTAGAAATTGTATTTCACCCTGTTCTCGAAATTTCGATTTTTTTTTTTCTCAACATTTTAACTTTTTGCCTCAAAAGTTTGACTTTATCAGATTCCTCTTATCTATTTCTTTATTATACACTTTATTAACATAATAACACAGTTTACAGTTCATCTCATACAACACAAGTTGACAACACAAACAAGTACGCCAAGGAAGACATTTAACTTACTGTACAAAAATCATTCATACATAAATAGAGTTCCACAAGTCAATATTAACATCACATTAAATTTAAAATAACGTATATCCACCAATCAAAGAAAAAAAACAGAAAGTAACATCAATAAAATCATTGGGCAATAACGTCAACGTCAACATCTTATTTTGAAAGGAACAGAGGAAGTATCAATCCTAGCTTGACGCCTACGCTAGTGTTCTCTTCTCTCATTGGCTGACGGCTTGACGCTGTACGTGCGTAGGCGCTTCCTCAAGTTGACTAGCAGAAACAGCAAAATAGAAGATGGTGAGTATGAAACGGGCAAAAATGCTTCAATTTCCGTCGTTTACAGACCGCCTGTCGAGTGCTCTGCTTGTATGATGTCATCCTAGACTAGTTTTCGACGTAAGAAGAGCGACGTCGACGTTTCACGGCCACTAATTTGAGGGTTTTTACTGAAGCTTCTTTCCGAGATGGATCAACGATCACATGACAGCTGAACACTTCAGTTTACAAAAAAAATAATTAACAAAACCGAAAGCAACCCCCAAAAAACCCTCTCGTTTCATTTGCACTGATTTATTTTGATTTGTCATGTTTATTCATTTTGTGTTCTTGTCGTGTGTTTAATTTATTTCACGATATTTTCTACTTTTTTGTTCCTGTTTGCCAACCAGTTAGCTTGCGATGCTAATGTGCGAACAGGGACTTGATCTTGTGTTACTCTTCCAGTGCAGCATTGATGGTGTTACAGCACAATTATTAAACCTCAACTGTCACTGTCACCGATTCCCGAGTTAAGATACTAGATTAATTTGAACATTAACATTAAAAACGCGTTTTCTATGAATTCATCCATTCAGGTTTTCACCTTCAACACATTGTCTCTGTGCAGGTGAACAATGTGCACGACTTCCTCACTTGAGTCAAAGTGTAAATACTCCTGGACAAATTACTCCCAATACAAGTTAAAGTGGCTCAGTGTAATTGTTACTAGAGTTAAGGTACATGCTTTTAAAAAACACTAGAGTATGCAAGTGACTTTTTAATTTAAAAAACATAGTTGTTTTTTCACAATGCATGAGTGCAGTTTCACATGCTGAGTGCATGCTACAGATTTCCAGATTTGCTGTTCTAAATTAATAGGAACAACCAAAAAAATAATCAGCCAGGCTTCACACAGTGAGAAAACTTTGACTTTGCAGACACAGGCCACGGGAGAGCAGGTGGAGAATCGTCATCCTTCTCTGACTAAATTAACTGCCTGAGCTGCGTGATATTTTGCTCTTTGTTTGCTCAAAGTTAAACCCTAGAAATGCACGACGTCCGGGTATGGCAACACCACTCAGACAAACAACACGCAGAACTACAAGAACACATTTTATTGTCTTGGATCAGATTTAGGAAAAGACAAGAAAATCCATCCGCTAACTTCAGAGCATTAATCATTAGTAACGAGAAGATTTATAGAAATGTAGTAGAGTCATGAGTACGACATTTCTCTTTTAAATGTAAGAAGTAAATTAACTTTGTTACTGTCCAGCACTACTACTGATGCTCCGGTAGTTTGAAACACAAAGTTTGTTCAAAGCACACGTCTAGGTGCAGTTTAAAGCTTCATCACTGGTTGATTTTTCATTACAGTCTTTTGTTGGCTTGCATGCGCTCACTAAGTCAGTGCAAAGTTATACACCTGCTTCATCATTTGTCACTAACCATCAACAATAACAATCGATTCAACCACGTTGTTATTTAACTTTTCTGATTTGTTTTTGAACCATTAATATCTGTCCACGTAATCCATTCACTTTTTAATTTCTAATTTCAGTTTCCCCCTCTTGTCCCAACCCTTTTTTCTTTTTGTATTTTTTCCCCCAATCTTTGATCATGCCTCATGTCCTTCTCAACATGCACACCTGCCTTCCTCTATCTCACTCTCTCTCCTCCTCCCGCTCCTTTTCCCACGTCTTCAATCAACCAGTCTGGTCACCGGGTAAGTTCCCACGCTCTGTGTCGGATCCCTGTTTTTCTGCTCACTTTTCTACCTGGCTCACTAACATGGGATTGCGTAGCTGTTATAGAGGTCTGCTGTGTCTGGGTTCCAAAGCCACTATTTAAGCAAATTCAATCAACCGCAATGCTTTGATTTGGAGCCCAGCAGGCAGCTATGCTGTAATGACAACTTCTCATGGCTGTTGTTTTTAACAAAAAGCAATATTTTAAGGTTTTCAACATTTCAATACTTTTCAATACCACAGGTTTGATGATACAATGTCCCAGATTTAAATGATTGTTTTTAAAAGAAAGCACCAAAGCGCTTAAAAAACTGCAGCTCTTCTGTCATGCTTTTAACCCAAAGCTGCTGCAATGTTTGTGGTACTGAAATATTACTCATATTTGTACAATTTAGACAGTGTGCAGGGTTCTTCATGCATCTCTTAGTAATTAAAAACACTCCATCTAATATCAGGTGCCTACAGACTTGTATTTCTGTTGCTGTGGTATCGAAACAGGTATCGATTTTGTTTGATTTTTACCAGAATTATATCCAAGTTTAAATATCAGATATCGTGATAACCGTATTTTACTTTTCTACTCAAAATAATGCAGAAATAAGTAAGAAATCATAAGCTGTCCTTGTGACGAGTCATTGTAACAAACCTTTGATGATACACAAACTGTGTTTGTCACTTTAATTAATTCAACAGCTATCATTGTTTATAACTGATGTTTTAAATTGATGTAGGGTGTAGGAAAGAACCTTTAAATGGATGTTTCTCTCCAGAGTAGTTAATTGCTACCCATATTAATATTTAAAGGTATCCCTCTGTTTCTCAGTGGAGTTACAGGGTTGATTCTGATGACTTGTGTTGTGTGGAAAAATAAACTGCTCTTATGTCCTACATGTGTAATTGAGTGTCTGGAATCAAGCTGTGCTGAGATTTTCCAATAATGGCCTGTTTTTTTATTTGAAGTAAAAATGTATATCTAGTTTGAATTCAGACACTCAATATACTCTGCTTCTTACAAACATTGCTTATTTCCAAATAGAGCTTTATGAATTAAGACTGGTTATTCATATCATGGAATTGCTCTGGAGTAAATTGTTTGGGTGCATAACATAAATCGTGATACTATTTTGCTGATCTTGAACTATATTTTTTAAATATTAACAAACTAAATTTAGTGATGTGGTTATGATGTGTGCATCCTCACCAGTGGCATCCCACAGGGCTCCATCCTTGGCCCACTTACCTTTTCAAAGATCAGCATCAAGCAGCCTGAAGTCTCCTAACCTGTCTGTGTGTGTGTGTGTGTGTGTGTGTGCAATGCTATCAGTTGGTCCTGGTGTTAGGTGACCTGCACATCCCCCACCGGTGCAACACCCTCCCAGCCAAGTTCAAAAAGCTGCTAGTCCCCGGGAAGATCCAGCACATTCTCTGCACAGGCAACCTCTGCACCAAGGAGAGCTATGACTACCTGAAGACTCTCGCTGGAGACGTCCACATAGTCCGAGGAGACTTTGACGAGGTGTGTATTTGTAGACAACCATAGGGGCAAAAGCCTCATTAGCAGCCCCAATAACCCTTGAAAATAACCCTGCCATATTCATTCCACCCAACAACAAAAATAAGAAATAGGGGCTGATGGAGCTCAGTTGGTAGAGCAGGTGCAGAAGCTACAGTCTTTGTCACACTTGTTGCAGGATTGACTCCAAATCCTGATGCTATTTGGTGCATGTTATCTTCCACTCTCTCCCCCCACATGTCCTGTCGCTCTATAGCTTTCCTTTCCAAATAAAAATAGCCCCCCCCCACACACACACACACACACACAATAAATAGCGACTTGGTTTCTTTAATGCTAGAGATGAATTTATTCTGTGAAATGAAAATGTCTCTAAATGTAGGTAGGAGAATATGATTCAGGTGCTTAAATTAAATTACATGGAGGGAAAGGACATGATTTATGTAACGGCAAAGAGAGAGGAAATGGATCTCTTGTTGGAACTGAAACCTAGTTACAGCGTAATGAAACTCTAATAGCTCCCGTCTTGCAGTTTCAGTTTAACCTGCCTGGTTCACATTTTTTAGAAACAGCCACATGGCGGAACTAAAATCCTTTAAAACTGTTTTTTTTTTTTTTTTACTGTTTCCTTTGACTAGTTATGCCAAAATATATCACAGCTTCCACTGGTAGATCACCAAGAAAAAGTGCACGATCTTACTTCACACGTTTTCCCCTCAGAACTTGAACTACCCGGAGCAGAAGGTGGTGACAGTGGGCCAGTTTAAGATCGGCCTCATCCACGGCCACCAGGTGATTCCTTGGGGTGACATGGCCAGTCTGGCGCTGCTCCAGAGACAGCTGGATGTGGACATCCTCATCTCCGGGCACACACACAAATTTGAGGCATTCGAGAATGAAAACAAGTTCTACATCAACCCAGGCTCTGCTACAGGAGCCTACAGCGCACTGGAATGGTAAAGGGTTCACCTACACTAATTAAGGCTAACCACTTCTCTCTCACACGTGCATGTTGCTCTAACTTTAAAACAAGATTTCTTCTCATACTTACAACGTAAACTCAGTAGGAACACTGTGAGCTTCAGTGTCTTATTAAAAAACAGAATTTACACCAACTAAGAAGAAATATGTTTTCAGATTATATCTCAACATGGAATTCTAGTTCTCTTTCAAACGTTCGCTCAGTATCTCGCCAAAATGTTAGGTATGCTCTATTCTGAGAAACCTCACTCATGTTATCTAAGAACCGGGGTTACCTCTGTAACCTAAAGTTTATCACCAGCGTTACACAGTACAGACAGAAACAATTAAAAAGCAGACACAGCGTACTGAATTACTCTGCAGGTTGTGATGACAATATTTACTCGAGGCTTTCTTATTTTGCGTCACGATAAAATGGCAGTGATTCAATCATATGTTGAGCCCAAAGAGCTGTTTTTATGATAGTTTATATATGGTCAAAAGAAATAACTAACACCTTTAAAAGCGGTGGTTTGGGCCCGGTGGGGGCCATCTTCATGTGTGTGTGCATGTTTAAGTGTGTTTGTGGAGGTGTCCCAGTTTGTTCACAAGTCGTGCTTCTTTTGCTTCTGCAACACCGTCACATAATGTAAAATTAAACACTGAGGGCACCATAACTACGCCGATGCAATGCAATGTGCAGGTACGAGTAAGGCGGAATGACAACGTGACTTTGTCACAGCACTGTCGAGGAGTCGCAGTGTGTAAATTCATGTAATAGTACCTCACCATAGGAGTAGTTTTGGGTCTTCGTGCTGAGATGAATTCAATTAGGATTCTTCTTGACTCCATCTGTTACTTAAATGCAATGAAGAAACAATTAAACAGAGCAGCATACAGAGAGGACAGACCTCCTACAAGGCCGATAGTCTATGCTTCTGTGTTGTTTTTTAGGATAAAGATTGGATACATCTTAATCTGGACTATTTCTTTCTATAATCCTACCGCATTGGAAACATTTCCTCCTCGACTGAACCCAGTTTTTTATCAAATACATTTACATTTTTTCATTTTTAAAAAGACACCTTGATGTTTGCAGCAGCCGATGATCTCCTACAGTGTGAAGTTCAGTGTAACAGGTGTAACAGTAGAACCAGACCGACTGTAATCAACAGCGTTCAGAAGTGCAGGAAAAGCCCTGACCTAAAACACATCTGCCTTCTCTCCTTACAGCAACATCATCCCCTCTTTTGTACTAATGGACATCCAGGCGTCTACAGTGGTGACGTACGTTTATCAGCTGATTGGTGACGACGTCAAGGTGGAGAGAATCGAGTACAAGAAATCCTAAAGGAAGGCGTGCGGAGGAGGAGGGGGAAGGGGAGAGGGAGAGTTGGGTTAGCGTGGCTCAGTGTATCATTTCATTCCTTACCACCAGGGGGCAGCAGCTGCCCTGAAGTCACCAACAAATGTTAATGCTGTAACAAACTGTTCAGTAACTTAACTCTAAAAGACCTGTGTATTATATTGTTTATATGTCATCAGCAGTTGCTTGAATCCAAGCTGTCATTTGGTAACTGTAGAGAATGCAATAATGTCACATGTATGTGTTATCAAAAAAAGATATTTGGTGCCATTTTCTTTCTTTTTCTTTCCTTTCTTTTTGTTATGTCTGCCCTCGTCATGTCATGTACATGTAACAACCTTTAGGCCTTTAGCTTCACGTAGTCGGCCTTTTTTCATTCATTTTGCCCCACAATAAAAATCAAATTTCACTCCACAAGTTCGACTGTCTGAATTCATTCTGAAATAGAAGATGTGCTTAATAGAAAGCCTAAACTATCGAGGTAACACAAAATGAATGTATTCATATAATGACTAATACTTATATTTAACACAGAAATGTATTAGAATGATCATTGTTCTTAGTGGTTAAATATTAGAGATACACTTAGGAACAGCCCCTTCTTTCACACTGATTTTAATGCATTGATCAATAAAAGATAAAAAGACAAAACAAGTCTAAATATATAAACTTTATAATTGTTTCTAAAGAAATACTTTTGGTCAAAAGTCAGACAAGAAATGAGGCATTGTATCAACTCATTCAAGTGGTAAAATGTGCAGTGAGAACATGTTTATAGAAAGGTGTTTTTAGAGTATGATGGTAAGAGGAAGGTTTATAACATGGAGGGAAAATACTTAATGCATTGTTTCTTAGATTTCTGTCTCTTCTGCAAGTCTTATGAATTAAAGATGAAGCATGTGTGTACAACTGACAGATTGTTTCTTTTTTGGTTATTCTTAGTTATAAAATATTTATATTGTTTAAACATTAAGAGGTTGTTTTGGAGGTTTTGGTGATGAGATGTGATCCCATGCAGTGAACACGGGATTTCCATTAAAATGATGTCTCCTAAAGGTTTCCCTCTTTGCCACTAGGGGTCGTTAACTCACAACATTATTGATGCAGGTTTTAACTTGACATAATGACGACACTGAAGACTCTAAAGGTTGACTGTTTGACTAACTCATTTTGATCCCTTTAAGATCCTTAATCTGAAAAACACTCTGTCTGTTATCATAACTGGAAGGTTTACTGGACAAAGTGAAATTCCCTTGCACACATTATTTGACATGAAAACTCAAATTTACAATCGCAATGTCACAAATGGGAAGACGTGTCATCGTCCCGTTCTCCGACAGAGAGTGGACTCAAACATTCACTCAGAGAATCTTCCTCCTCCTCTTCCTCCTCTTCTTCTTCCTCCTGCTTCTGCGACAGCTTCATTCCACCTCCTGAAAACAAAAACCAGAAGAAGGTAAACTTTATTATCCAAGAGGGGCAACCTGCTCTACAGCCAGCAGTGAACACAACAAGTCAAAGCACTGAGTCTCATATGATCTCTGAAAAACACAAATCAAAGGGGCAACGATTCACACCATGATGTCGAGGAGAATAATGGTACAACAGACAAATCTATTAGTCCTGCACTTTGGCCTTGGCAGCAGCTTGTACTCTACATATATACAGTATAGTGAGTGCAGTCGTCCTGGATGCTCCTCCTGTTGCCTTGTATCTCCCCCCTTCAGGTTGCCTTCAGGTAGAGAGGGGTGGAACCATTTGATGTCATGCAACTGGGCAGGCTGGGTCTAAGTATCTAAGCTGTCGTCTCAGTCTGTCCCTCTCTCTCTTGTCATCACCAACTTTGGTTTGTTGACTTTGTTTTGACAGTTTTGCAGAAGCTTGTCTTCGAAGTGACCCTCCAAAATGAAGCCATAGAAAATAAAAAGAAGCCATTTTAGACATTTTACTGACTTACTCTTTGGACTTTTCCTTCTTATTAAGCTGACGTATTTTTCTCCATCTTTGTTTGTTTTGATGCTGCTGTGTTATAAGACCTGCAATGCAAACAAAACAGTGTGTAAAATGATGTAAATATGATGCATTTAAAGTAAAGGACTTCTTAAATGTCATTGTGGCTCTAAATTGATTTGTAATCGTCTTTTTTTACTCCTTGTTTTATTTGTTGAAGTTCTGTCTCCCACCTTGTTTGTCTGCTTGGGTATTTGAAAGAGAGGATTTCCCAGGATTCCTTGCTCCTGTTTGTATCTTCTCTTTGTGTTTAGTTGGGGAAAACACTCCTGATGGATGTTTGCTTCTCCCTCAGTCCCAGGTAAGTTCACAGAAGATGGCACAACCAGGTCGTCTCTCTCAGGGTCGTGACCTGCAAAAAAAAAAAAAACATGTTAAAGAAATGATTTCTGTTCGGCTCTAACCTCTAAAATATCACGACTGAGAACTTGGAACACTCTGGAAAAACAAAAACAAGTCTTTGACTAACACCTTTATGCTCACCTGTTGGGATACACCTGTGCAGCACGTTCATGTAATGCTGGTTAATGAGGTCACGCACATGTGCCGTGCTGTAGGAAGCTGCGATGGTGTACAGATACTCCTTCTGAGCTGGTGTTAGCGCTGTGTGCTGAGGGACAGACAGAGGTCAGGGGTCACTGCTGAGATCCACACTCAGACAAACCTCAACCGTCAGGCTGACTGAAGCTTCCAGAAGAACATTTAGTTAATTATAAACGACCAGAGGGGTTGTGGAGTAGTGCAGTTTTACCTTCAGAAAAGGGCCTGCTGTCATTGTTTGGGGGATTTGTACAGTTTTTACATCATGGAGCTGCGGTTCACATCTTTTGACGTTTGGTCGTTGAGTTTTCAAACGAGCGGCTAAAAACAACCAGAGAGAGAAAAACAAACATTTAGTGTGTCATTAATCATTGTTTGCTGAGATCAGATATCGATATTTTATTTTTCCAGTTTAAGAGGCTGGACCTGCTGCCGCTAATCTGCTACACGTGTGTTTGAAAAGGACAAGCCTGTAAGTGGTCTTGATTAAAGTGACAAACCAAAGAGGTTCTTATCAGAGAACAGCATGAGAACAGCTCCCTTCCTGTAACTCATGAAGCGTGATGCAGGGTCACGTTCAGGTTTAGGATTTCCTTCTTTCTTTTCCACTGATCTCAAACTGCTGAGTTACACGATAGAAAGCCTGTCTCAGGTTTCAGAGCAACACATGTAAGCAGACTTGTTTTGTTCATTTAACAATGACATAGAGCATGCACATTAGAACTCTGTAATCTGTAATAAAGTGAAATAGACAGAAAAGGCGGAATTAAAAGACACTGTCCTATATCTATATCTGTGTTCTCCTTTTCTTTCTTGCCGACTTGTTTATATTTAATAAAAACTTGTGTTGGAACTTACCCATCCTTGACTCTTTCATCCCAATACTCCTGCACATGAAAAAAGATAAACACATAATCTCAGAGACATTTACAAAATGGTTTAAGAATTTATTTTTAGAGGATGATTTTTGTTGTGGTCTAGAAATAAGTAAAACTCTACCTTTGAAAAGCGTCATCCTGATGCAGCCTGTAGACCGTCTGACCTTCTGCAAATGTCACTTGTTTTTTCATTTTAGGAGGATGAAGACGCAGCCAGGTATCCTCCTTACAAGCAGCAGCAGCAGCAGCCAGTTCAACTCCAGTCTGAGACATATCCATCCACTCGGAGGTCAGGCCAGATAATTAGTAAACTAAGACGTCTGATGGCTAGTGGGTGTGACCTTTGCCACAACTCGAGCTTAATATCTGATTCAGAAAACAAACATTTAAAAACAAACACAGAGCCGTGCACTTTAACATCCTGGATTCAACTCTCAGATATATTTTACACAGATATGCAGAGTGTGACTGGTTTTATTTTTAAGTTATTTGTTCACTCTTTAAACATGCAAGTCAAGTGTCTCGTCCTTCATTGTTTGCCATGTAAATAAAAATTAAAGGAGCAATATGTAACTCTGACCCCTTAGTGTTAGAATTGATGTGCACGCAGGTTGCCATGTGGTGGAAAAGGTGCTTCTAAGACTTTTTGACAAAAAAAGACGTGACCCACTGAAAACTGCTCCTTATATTCAAAGTCACTATTTAAAATTCTAAACAAATGAAATGGGCTACTTTTAAATGCAAAGGAAGCTAACAGCAGCTTGTTGTAACACAGCCAAAAAAGTTGATTTGAACAAAAGTCCCGTCTCTGAAAAGGCAACCAGCCAATCTTACTTCAGGACTTTGCTGTTGCCACTGGGGTGGCCAATCAGATGTCTAGGATCGCCCTGGCCACCTCCTGGCTCCGCCCCTCACTTTTACTTGTCTTGGCTGTCACTCAAGAACTTTCAGTCATATTGTTTTCTTGTCTATTTGGTGCTTTCCCGGTTCAAACAGCTCTGGGTGGCTCCCTTCTGAGGGAACTTCATGAACTCTGGTCTTTATCTAAAGCGTCAGCAAAACACAGAATGAAACCTCAACTCAAAACAAATAACAAGAAGTCAGTAGATAAGTGTCATTTTGTTTTCAGCCTTAAACACAATTTGAGTGCATTCTTCTTGAAATGTGAACTCCAACTCTGGGACATATTGATTTATTGTGTCCATTTGTTGGGATTAAAGGGGAAATCCAGCAGCCAACAGTTGGATGATGGATCGATAAAGTCCTAACAGCTTTGTCTCTCAGAGAAGGGGAAATCCAGCAGCCAACAGTTGGATGATGGATCTCCTTTGGGCTGTGGGGAAAAGAGCTGGGATTCACCCTGATAAAGTCCGAATGGCTTTGTCTCTCTGAGAAGGGGAAATTTTCAGCTCGACACACCCACACCAATATGTAACTGTAGTTCATGTGACAAAAAGGGTCGAGAAATCAAAATATGCATATACTGTAGAAGTGTACTCAATTAAATTTATATTGTACAAAATAATATTTTCTCAGTCATGAGAGTTGTATTTGCAATAAGCAAGAGTGGTGCATTCAAACAACCTGAGGTTTCCATTTGAAATTCAGCTTGCCAGTCATGACTCAAGCAGGCTGTGAGGTGGTGCCCCATGTGACGAGGCTGTGGTCCTCTGGGGGTGATCTGGGAAAGTAAAATGAAAGTGAGTAAAATAATAAGTATACAAGTAAAAAAAAAAAAGGGGGGGGGGGGTAAATGAAAATGAAAGGAAAACACTTTGAAGTAATCAGGATAAGACATCTCCTTCCTTTATTCTGTTCACCGTAAGTCACACCTTGAGAGCAAAGTCTGTCAGATGCAAAGGTGGGGTCTATTTACTCTCTGATAACATGCATGTTTCTCAAGTTGACATAAAAAAGTCAGAGGTTGTACACCACTAGCAGTTTCCCCATCAGTACAAATCATACTTTAAAGTTGATGACCACATTTTGTCTTTAAACATTCTACACATTGCAATCATGTAACCATCAATAACTGTATTGTACTACTTTGATTGACACTTGCGGACCACCACCAGCTCGGTATCACCTACAGTACATAAGCAGCAGAGTTGTAATTTGTATGCTCTACTAAACATGATGCAACCACTTTCCCTTTCCCTGCTGCTAAGCTTACACTAAAAGGAAACTGAAAGTGTGTTGATGAAGTCATGGAAACACCCTTCATCTATCTACATAAGGAATCCGTGCTATACACTCAAGGCAGAAAAACACAGCTCTGAGCGGGAAGGTGCAGTACTCCAAAGAGAAGCCGACGGGAATAATCTGCTCTAAACAATCAAACCATAAAACTGGAGAGGAGAAAAATGTTTAGACTGAAGGCTAAACTGAAGCGGAGCGGCAGGAGGCTTTTAACAGACAATAATACAATTTTCTGCCAGAAGGTAAGTCTGTTGTTATTGTGGGTGTGCTTTTATTGTCTAAGTTTACATGCTCAACTGAGACTGTTATTGCTGTCCTCTTAATCTACAACTGTTGCTTTTGTTATTATTGTGGATTTTTTTTTTCCACAAGCCATCAATCAAAGTTGTGTACATTTAGGTGTGGGACATTTAAAGCACAGTGGTGTAGTGATGCCTAAAGAAGTGGGTATGCTCTTATTTTTTTAAGTGGCCTGTCCTGCAGAAGATAAACAGCCTCTGTTATAAACAATGACATGTAAGACTACTCTGCAATTTGAGACAGAGGAGGGAAGGTCATCCCTTCACCATCCTAGGAAAAATAATTCACAGCATACTACTGAATATTGTCAATCAATCAATGGTGTGAATCAGAGGAGGATTAGAAGTGGGTACACCCTATGAAGACTGAAAAATAAGCGTGTATACTCTGTGTACCTTGCACTAGACCGCTGATGAAGTCCCTTCAAAATAAAGTGTGAAATAACAAAAGACAGACAGAATATATAAATATCAGTGCTGAAAAACAATTTCCGAAAGTAAAAATGAAAAGAAAAACGTTTCTTATGCTTTGAATTCTTTTCTGTTTAATCTTTGTGACAGCAAGAATAAATTAGTGTGTTTCAAGATTAGATATGATAAAAGACATACTATATTTAGACAGGTATAATACTTAAAAAGCTGTGTACAACAACCGCTTGGTGAGGAAAATATAAAGGTATTGGAGTTATACCAGGAAAACTGTGCCGGACCAGACCGGATCAAACTGGTATGGCCATGGTGTTAATATCAGGCATGAGGATTCCCAAATAGCTACTGGGGTGTTGCTTAGAGAGGACACACTCTATTATTGTGCTTCACACAGGTGTACCTGTAGGCGTTCCCAAAGCTGGATGTGTAAACTTGTCATTGGCTCTAATTTCACTCTCGCTTGGATTACAAACCCGTTATTCCGCTTTGATGTGATCCAATGTTAAAACTATGCAAGGCAGCTTGATAACTTTTCAATGCAAGTTCATCTGGGAATTTTTTGGCTTAGGTAAAGGGAAAGCATGAATGTTTTATCTAAGCTGCATTTGTATATTTTATATTATTAGCACACAGTGGCGAGTCTAGAGTCTGTTGGGGCCCTGGGCAAAAATGTATTAGGGCCCCTCCAACCACCATTATGTCTGCCAGTGTTTCAACGCTCTCCCTCTTTCTTTTTTCACTCCCAGACAGATCATTCCTCTTTGTTTTCCTTCAGCGGTTTAATTTGAATGAAGGAGTAATATGTGAGATTCTAAGCAGGGCAACGGGAGTGAGTGCTGTCAAATGGGGCCTCATTAGGGAGTTTTCCTACTGTCATTGCAAAATTTGCACATTTTTTAGCTTCTGCTGTGGTTTTAAGTTTGTCAGGCCCAAAGCAGTTGCCTGCCTTGCCTGTTGACAAGAGGCACTATATTCGATATATATATATTTAGCTTTGATTATAAATATTTACAATCTTAGCTAAATATATAGGATCAAAGCTAATATTTAGAATGTAAACTAAATGTTTAGAAATGTAGCTAAATATTTAGAATCAGGACATGTATTTTTAACATTTATATATAACATTTAACATTTAGATAAACATTCAACATTTAGATATAATATTTAACGTTTATATTTGCCAATGAAATTATCTTAAATTTTTATTCACATAAGTAAATATGACAAAGTTCACAAATATTTCTCTAAATGTGAATAAAAAGTGATGTTTTAGGGCTAATTGTGGAGAAATGTTGTTGTTATTTGTTGTGTGTGCAACTTTACAATCGGCGCCCCATAGTCCACAGATGGAACTTGCATGATGCTATCAGTGTGATTGATTTAAATACACAAAAGAGGAATAAGTTAAACCTAATAGTTACATTACTGTGACGCACATAGCAGCCATGTTTGATTGTTTCCTTGGACAATTTAAGGTTCTCCGAGTTTCCAAGTTGAAATTCTGACTTCAGGGGGGCGTTCCTGATGAAGTCAGAATTCCAACTTGGAAACTCGGAGAACCTTAAATAGCCCGACGTATCAGACCATGCTTTTGAAAACTGTAGAGAGGTTAGAACGCAGAAAGGATTCAAGACTGATGCCGAGCTGGCTAAACACTGAAGCTTCAATCTTTGTGACATAGCTACATGTGTGCACATCGACCATAGGGAGGAGGGGGCTGGGGGAAGCAGCTCTCTTCAGTGTTTTGAATTTGGACTGTATTATGTACATTTAGAGACATTTGGAAATTATAACCAGACAATCCGACCTGCTGGTACAACGAGAAGAATCACAAAACCTGGATCACAAAAGTTATGACAATTTATCCTCCAGGGAACATGAATGTCTAATTTGCTTGAAGCCACAAATTGTTTTTCTCTATTAACTTAATTTCTTAAATTTGACTCTTTCATAGACTTCAACCAGTCATATGATGGGCATACCCTGTTGTCTCAGAACACCTTCAACACCAACGAGGATCAACTCTCCCAAAATTTGGCTAAGATCTCTCTTCAGAAGCTAGCTGAAGTTCTACGAGTGGATGCAAACACCTGTGTGGATGGAAATTGTAACTCATTGCAACCTGAGCCAAATTCAAGACGTCAAAAATTGATCATACAAAGTTCGGTGTCCCAACACTTCCCAAAGCCACCAGAAGATCTGAAGAACAAACTTCTGCAGCACCTGGAAAATGTGAAGGAAACTGCGAGCAATGAGATTGTGAGGCTGCACCCCCTGTTGGAATGTATGGAGTTGACGGGATGTCTGATTGAGTGCTACCATTGTCAGACATTTTCTCACCTCCATTATCTACTCCAAAATATCAGCTCCATTCAGAGTTCCTTTGTGCTGCTGAACTGGGGTTTACAGGCATATATGAGGTAACTTTCTCTCCATTCTTGGCTTTTTATTTGTATTTTTTATTGTTGGAAATGTTGGCATCTCACTCTTTGTTGCAGAGTTAGAGGAAATGATCACTCCCATATCTAATAAAATTAGGCTAATGCCAACAAATAATTAGCTTAGCATAAATACACCACTTCTTCAACCTAATTATTCTACCTCAAAACCTCACAAACCGTATAAAAAAGGGTGAAGTGTCTCTTATATTTTGGTTTGCAAGTTTCAACAAAACGATGCACATGTCCGCACGGACGCCCGTACATCGGAGAAAAACACAGAGAACATGACAGCTACTTTGTGGCTTATATTGTGTCATTTTAGTCAGATACAGCCCTGAAACTCTGGATTTCTCCATAATGAAGGCTGTCAGCGTTGTGTACCCACGTGCTTGTGCTCGTGCATGAAGTGTACCGTGCCGCAGCACACCTCTCCGAAGTGTGCCAAAGCCAAGGAAGTGTACCGTGCCTGAGCACGATACGGAGCGGTCACACTGGCTAAACGAACTGGACTTTAGGGTTGAAGCGTGCTTGGGTACGGATGGCCAGTGAGACCGCGCCCTTAGAGGGGTTTTGTTTTTATCATGATGGGATGGAAAAAGCCACCTACTTCCCCCAAAGTTTACAGTCTATGCTAAGCTAATCACTTGCTAGCCATCGCTTTATAATTATCACAAAAATAAAAGACGACTATTAATTATCTAATCTAACTCTGCCATGAAAGAAAGTTCTCAAAAAGCTGAATTATTTGTTTTACAAATAACTGAGTCTAAATCCACCTAGACACAATTTGAACCTTGAAAAGTATCTTCATCCATACTTTCAATGCCTTTAATAATGCACAGAATACCAATAATCTTCTTTACTTATTTGTATTATCTGTATTTTCTGTGGTAGAGTATCAGACAATGAAATTCAACAAATACCGTTCTGATGTTTGTATTTTTGGTCATTTTCCAGTCGGGATCACCTCGACCTCCCAGACCTTCCAGGACTGGAACCACCAAAAGTCGACCATCTCCTGTTGTTAGATTGGTTTGTCCAAGCAACAGACACGGTGCTTGCAGTAGTGCAGGTAAGAATACTTTACATTGTTAGAGCTGGTGGGGCTGAGGAAGAGTACAGTGCTGGTGCAGGTCAGGTCTCTAGCTTGCAGGCTTCAACCTCATCTTTTTGGTTTGTTTGCAGACAGATGTCAAAGGGTCCCTGGAGAAAATCCTGCAAAATGAGAGAAACCAATCAGGCAGCGATACAGATGAAGCTTTTGTTGGACTTTATATGGACATGATTCAGGTACGTAGAAAACCAGAGTTATTTTTGTTCATGTTTGATTCATTTTTTTACTTTAAGAATTCAAAGTTTGTTTCCTTTTTTTCAGCTTTTGGATGTTTTCTTTTGTGTCTCATAATAAAACGGTTCCTTGCTTTTTTGTTTCATTTAAAGTATATTGATGCTATCCCTAAAGAAGCACAAAAAATCAGTCAACATCTGTCTGATCGGGTGGAGGAGGTTTGTTTCAAAGAGCTGCTGAGCTTCCTGGAGAGGTGAGATAATCATCTATTACACAGATCTCACAACTTACCCTGAAAAAAACACTTACATTAGGTCGTGAAGATTTTAAATTTTAAATTTATGAAATCAAACACTTCATGAGTCATTACTTTAAAGGGGTCATATGCTTTTTCTGGTTTTATATGCTCTTTAGTGTGTTTTCCAAGTGTCCTGTGCATGTTTAGGCACATCTATTTGCAAAAATTCAAAGTCTGCGGAAACGCGGCTTCTCCTTCCTCCTCCTGCTAGCTGTAGCATTAGCTGCATGTAACGCTCGGTTCCCCCTTGAAAAATTTTGCTAGTGTGACGTCTTGTCAGTGTGAGATCACTGATCTAAGCCCATTGGCTCGTTGTGGCAAGCCCAGCAGCTCATGTTGCACGCCCATTAACTTCTGTAGCACGCCCACGATATGCCGTAGCCTGCGGTAGCAAAGTAGTGCTAACGTGCTAATGTTTTTGCTCCCTTCGGAGACAAAGTGGCTGCATTCCCAATATGGTAAAAGGGGCGTGACATTTCCGAGAACCGTGCTGAGCAACTGACCAATTACAACAGAGCCGACAGGCCTACCAATCAGATCAGACTTGGCACACGTGGGGACTCTGAACGTGGGCACTTCAGAGCCTTAGAGAGAGAGTCAGAAGCGAGCCGGTGCATGGAGCGGCAGAACATGAAAACAGACACTTTTTTTATAACTTTAGCTATTGTGAACATACTTTAGTAGGTACATAGATTAAATATACGAACCCCAAAAAGGGCATAATATGACTGCTTTAACTTAACATACCAGTATTTTCTCTGGTTTTAGGTACACTGCTGAGCAGATTGAGACTCTAAGCAAAGAAGCAAAAAGGGACAAGCCAAAATCGTGGCACTTCTTGAAGACTTTAAACTCCTGCAAACATCTCAAGTAAGTCCAAGCACCTCAGTCTCATTTCCAAATATTGAGTTCAGTTTGTACTGCAGTACAAAAAATAAACGCACAATTAATACATCCAATAATCTGCATGACTCATGATCATTTATAGCAATGGCAACAGTCTTTTGATATGATTTCAGGGAGTATGTCCAGAAGAAAGATACAACCATCAACGGATCAATTCCTCAAAAAACTGTGGCAACACTTGAAAAGATGGAGGACTCCACTTTCAAACTTTTGCGTGAAGTTGTGTCTGACCTCGCAGAGGTAACTGTCCTGATAAAGTTTTCTTTTTGCAGTTTATGGATGTCTATTTTCAAGAGTCAAGTTTGCCAGTTGCATGTTTGTTCTCTTCCTTTGAAGAACAAGTTGCACAAATAAGGTAAAAACAAATGTTAAGTGTTGTTAAATCTACATTTTTGTCCAACAGAGACATCTTAAGAATTACTTCAAAACTGACAAAAAGCACTTCACCCTGAGCCATGCACTAAAGGAATTTTTTCCCAAGACACAGTGCTCTGAGGACATACTGAAGGTAAGTGGACATTTAGTATTAAAGTAAGGGTTAATTGGCGACTCTATATTAAAGCACAATTTCATGCCGATTTAGAGTAATACGACTAACTTGCTATTTACAAAAAATCGGACAGTTTCTAGCACTAAAAAGAGAACAAAATAATCTAATCGATTCTAATGAATGGAGGAAAATGTGTATTGTATGCAGCCTTTAAAGGGATACTTCACCTATTTGCATTAAGCTTTGTATCATTAGAAACCTGGTAGTATTTTTGAATGGTCGTGCATCCCGCCTTCATTTTCCCCTGAGATTGGAAATCTTTGTATTTCTAAGTCTGAAAAGGAGCTTCCAGTGATGCAAAATGACGATTTTTGCGTCACTGGAAGCTGTTGCTGTCAGCAGGGTGAAACTACAACGCTAGTTCCTCATATTTTCGAACACTGAAGCTACGGACCAATCACAGATCAGTGGGTGGGAACTCAGTCTCAGAATCGAAACTTAACGTCCGCCATATTGCTTGGAAGCTATGCTAACAGGCTCTATGGAGAAAGCTGATAATGGTGAAAAAATATAAATATAGCGGTGAGATGGCTGCTGCCGACAGGCCGGGCTTGTGCTTTTGCTGCTGCAGCCCGCTGGCCAGCGAGACATAAGGCCTGCCTGTCGGCGGCGGTGAGGACGAGGAGCCCTGGCCGGATCGAGCTGGGGCAGACTGGTAGTGTCGGTGCTCTCACTGTTTGTCTATGGACACAGACATAGAGTCTGTTTTCTGCCAGGAATTTCCAAAATCAATTCTGGAAGAAATCTCTGAATCAGTTGAGGAAACGGCCTCGTGTTGAAGTAAATATGTCAGTAAATGTTTTAATTACTATATTTCTACTGCTATATTGTATATTTTGGAGAAACTTTAACGATCTAATTTCCCTCTGGGATTAATAAAGTATTTCTGATCCTGAAATAGAGGACCTTAGTGGGAGTGGCCCGCGATGCTGTGCATTCTGGGATTTGGCCAAGAAGGCACCAACTTCAAAATTTATTTCACATTTCTACTACATATATGACCCAATGTCAATACAGATTCATGTTTCAACGGCTGAAGTATCCCTTTAAGGGCTGGGATGGACTCCAGCCCCCGCGACCTCAAACATAAAAATAGATTCAGCTGTTTACCCGGATTTGCTGTCTACTGCTGTTTATTTGGTTACTGTCTCTCGTCTTCCTGAAGAAAATCAAACAGTGTTTCTTTCTGCCTTTGTTTCTTGCAGAAAGTGATGGATGACGCCTATGAGGTCATCACTCAAATTTACCTCAAACATCTTCGCCAAAGAAGTCAGAGAAAGCTGCGGAGGTCCTGGAGTCCTGAAGTTGGACAAACTGTCACTGAAGATGCTGAGCTACTTCACAACACCATCGCAGAGCTGGTGTGACCAATGTTTCAGACTAATCAGTGGAAAAAGTAGATGCTGGATACAACCACTGGTTCCATCATGAGTTCAAACTCTGTATTTGTTGTATGTTATCAGGCCCCTGGTGTCCAGGAGTGGAACCTCATGCTGCTTAAAGTTGCAGAACTGTTGGAATGCTCCGACATCGAGGCAGTGAAGGTTGTCGCAGCCGAGATATTTACAACATGGAGGTAAATCTTTCATGCTGTTTTATGCCGTCGTTTTCACTGATATCAGGGGTGCAAACCTGTCGCCTTTCGGCGAAATTCACCGTTTTGGATCCCAAATAGGTCATTTGTGTGATTCATTTAGATCTGCAATAAAAATATTTGGAGGGGGATGGGGGGTGGGGGGGGGTCTACTGCAAACGTCGAGTCGTTTCATACTGATTGTGGTCAGAGCAGTCTGATTGCTCAACACGGCATGAAGAAAGTACTTCTGGCCCCTGTAGCCAATCATTGCAACACGGTCGGCACGAACCCGCCCGCGTTGTTACAAAATCTTGGAGGTGTGCGACTGGGCGCATAGATCCTCCGCGGACCATTCTCGCGCCGACCGCGATTGCGCAATATCGGCACGCCGACCGCAAGAAGCATGAAACCTGATTCAATGAGTCAATGTGCAGCACATGGCTAATTTACATCACGTTATTTTTCCGTGAAAACACTGTGGAAAGATTCGAAGTCTGGCTAGCAAGCCAGCCTTTCTGTTAAACATCCTGTCTGATCATATTTACTGTTTGGTAGCCATAGGTAAAGATGTTGAGAGAAATGTGTGCTAGCTTGAAGGTAACTTCATACAGCTTTCTGGTTCATTATTATCTCAGGCAACATTAAAGTGACAGCTGGTAAACACATTTAATAAGTTAGGCCAGAGGGAATATAAACTTAATGAGAATCAGCAGGAGCAAAACATCAGGTTAATATATTGATAATGTTACATATATATGATAGAAAAGATGGGAAAATATTGCCATACTTGATGACTGCATTATGTTCTGTCAGACTCTGCCCTGAGAGCTACTTGCATCGTGACTGCCCTTCACATCACCCCTTAGTGGAACCCTGTTCTGCAAATTCATCCCATTTATAAAAAGGGACTGAAGGTTGGGAGCACGGGTTTCTCATGTTTCACTGAAGCTTTATCAAAAAGTTACAACAGAACATAGATATAGACAAGCAATTGTGTTTTTCTTATTATTTGCACCGCTTCTTTAGTCGGTCTGAATGCTAAAATCGTCTGTAAATTCACATTTTAAAGCTGATATTTTTAAAAAAAATCTTCCCGGGGACCATGCCCCCGGACCCCCCTAGAGGGTTTGGATCCATGTCAGCTTTTTCCATCCCTGATGAGTTTACACCCCTTTGATATGTACATTGTTCATCCCATTCACTTTCATTGCCCCACTAAACGCTGGTTGGAGTACCTCCCCAATACATTTTGCCTTGGGCCCCGATAGACTCTAGAATCGAGTTGGTGATAGCAGGTTAGCCAGTGTTACATCTGTTTCAGTATTTGTAAAAGCAGCTGTCAGGATTAAACACACCTGGGGGTTTTGTTCTTCTCTGCAGCGAGGGCCCTGATCTTCTGCCCAAACTGCTACGATGGAAGGGGCTTCCTGGATGGCAGGTTGAGGAGGTGCTGGACGCCATTCCAGGGCGACAACCCAGATCTGTGTTCTGCTTCTCTGCTCTGAAGTGCTGCTGAAGGCTGACGACAATCAACTGCAACAAGCAAAGAGAGGCGAGCTGAAAGTCCACTCCGTTAAAGATATCACCTCTGATTTATATCAACCTTTTTAAAACCTCGTTTGAAGTTACACATGTGTGTACTGTATATATAAACAAGCAGAGAAGTTACTTAACCTTTGATAAGCTTTGACACAAAAGTAGGTCTTTCTGAGTAAGTTACACTAATCATATCTGATTTCCGTACATATTGTTGTCATCTCAGGACTTCTTTTTAAGTCTTCTTTTTAAGAGTTATTCTTTTTTTTGTAGAAAGCTTTGTTGCAAAAATATTTTGTCCTCGATTTGCAAAGTAACACAAGTCTTATGACACTAAGCTAAGAGATACAATCTCCACAAAAGCTAAATAGGAAAATTATTTTGGTCGTTTGAGTTGTTTACATGTTTTTTTATTTTTTATTTATCCGGATTATGGTTGAAGAAAATGGCACAATGATTGAGCAACGTTGACAGAAATACTAAGCTGAATTTCTGCTTATGCTAATTTTTTTTGCTGAACTACGCTGTTTAAGGGATTATTTTGTTAAGATGTGGTTATCAAAAGGCGTTACATTGAAGGGAAACGTTGTTGCTTACTCTTGTTTCAAACCCCTTAAAAGCTTGTCTTTGTCTTAAGCGGCCTGGATGTGTAAGCCGGATGGCGACAGCTTTTTAGCGCCAACAAAAAAAAAACCAGCCTTGAAATTACTCTCTGGAAATCCACAGGTTATTTAAATATAGCACATTTTGTGTTTGTCCTTTATTACTGCTGTTGCACAGGAAGTGATGAATCTTTTGACCAATCAGCAGACTGCAGTGTGTCTAGCTTCACCCTTTAGGGTCTGATTGGTACGCCTGGCACCCCAACAGAGGGGGGGAGCAAAAAAGTAGGATGGCACGGATCGTTTATATTGGTACTATTCCCAACTTTTGTCAGTGGAAACAGCAATAGATGCGTGCCGTACCGAACTGAACTGGACTGCTTGGTGGAAACGGGGATTTTGTGTACATTTAGTTTACATACTTATTTGTTTATGCACTAAAGTTTAGCTTACACTGAGCGGACAAAGAGGCACGGTCTCTAAATTTCTATGTTCATATTTGAATATTATTTATCTCTTTATTTATTTAACTTATGAATTTATATAATTTTTCATGCGTTCCAAATGTTGTCAAACTTTACAGTTAACACAACGTGTGGTCGTACAGTTGAAGTTATTTATCCTACACTTCTGAACTACAGATTCTGTTTGAACCATTTTGATACGTCAGCAGATGTGTTGTGAATTTTATGTGAAATGTTTTTGTGTTTCTTTTTTAAACGGACTTGAGCTTGTTCTGGTACTTCTGACTACTCAAAGCGTTTTCACTCCGGAGCTCACACCTACACATTCACTCACTGATGGTAGAGGCTGCTATGTCATGTGACCATCAGTATTTGCAAATTCATGCACATTCATACGCTGCCCCCGAAGCAGCTGGAGCAACTTGGGGATAAGTGTCTTGCCAAAGGACACATCTGACATGTGGCTGCACTAGCTGGAAATCGGACCCCCGACCTTCTGGTTGAGAGGCATCCGACTCTACCACTGAACCACAGCCACCCCAAAATACATATATAAACCTGAAATAATGAACTGTAAAATGTTCAGTGGGAACAAAAAGGCTACCTTGATTAGTATTTTGGACGTTTGTTTACTGGTTTTAATTCCCTCTTATAAGGTTGTATTTTCAGCCATTTCTTTCAAATGTTTTTCATTTTGTACTGCTGTTTTGTTTTGTTGAAAAGATAATGGATCAGGTATCGGGGATATAAAATGCACTACTTCTGTAATAAAAAAAACCTTTCTGATTTAATAAAAAAAAGCTGTTTTTGTTTTCATTGCATTGCCACTAGATGGCGACATCGTCTTGCCAAAATTTCGGCGAGGAGAGAGTTCCAGAGGGTGGGGGCTGAGGCACTGAAGGCTCTGTCACCAAAAGATCGCAGTTTGGTGTGGGGGGTGGAGAGCAGGCCTGTGGACCGCAGCTGTTGGGACGGGGTGTAGGGATGGAGGAGGTCGGTGAGGTACGGTGGTGCTAGACCATGGAGAGATTTGTAGGTGAGTAGGAGGAGTTTATATTCAATGCAGGACTTGATCGGGAGCCAGTGGAGGTGAATGAGGGTGCGGATGATGTGCTGCCAGAGCTTGGTACATGTAAGGAACCCTGGCATCTGAGTTTTGGACATATTGGAGTCTGTTCAGGGCAGTGTTTGGTAGCCCGAACAGAACTCCATTGCAGAAGTCAAGGCGTGAAGTGATGAAGGCGTGAATGAGGGTCTCTGCGACGGGGTCGGGGAGTGAGGGCCGGAGTCGAGAGATGTTTTTGAGGTGGAAGAAGGCGGATTTGGTGATGGACTTGATGTGGGATTTAGACAAGACTCGTCAGTGCTGTATGAATGTGTATGAATGGGTGGGATTAGTTACTTCTGATGGTCACTTTACACAGCAGCCTGTGCCATCAGAGTGTGAATGGGTAGGTGTGACCTGCGATGTAAAAAGCGATTTGAGTGCAAATAACTTTAATTGAAAGCGACAAAACAATAACATAATCTTAGACAACCTGATTCACTTTCATGTTACCAGCAAAAGAAGATAGAATCATAAAACATGTAATTAAGCTCTAACGCTGGCTGTGAGGTGATGCCCCATGTGACGAGGCTGTGGTCCTCTGGGGGTGTCGCCCGGGTTCGGGTCCAACTGTTAGGTCCTTTCCTTCATGCCACTCCCCACGCCCTCTACCCCGATTCCCTACTCTATCTAATGTCCTATCAAATAAAGACAAAAAGACCCAAAATAAATCTTTGGAGGAAAATGAAAGAGAGTAAAATAATAAGTATACAAGTAAAAAAAAAAAAGGGGGGGGGAAATCCGTACACACAGCCCTTGCACCCAGCCTATATCACAATACAAATACACCAGGAATCACAAACATGTTATAACGCTGTTACGCTAAACACATGTAGGACGCAGCGGTCCCAAACGGGAACAACAAGGGTTTTAAACAGGTAAAACTCAGGACGCGACAGTCCAACAAAGATAAAAATTACAGTTTCTGCATCAATCAAACAATTGTAAAAAAAACACTCTCTAAAGCTAATTCTGCCCAGCCCTAATTAAGCCTCACTTGTGAATCACTTTGCCCACGATTGGTGAAGGGAAAAAGAGTCCGGTGATGGAGCAGATCTTCTGTCCGTCCTGGTGCAGAAGTGTCTGATGGCGGCGAGGGTCCCTTACGGCGAGAGCGGCTTCGATGTGTCCGTCGAGTGGAAAGATGTCCTTTGATGTCCTTTCGTTGCAGGACAGAATAAGACCGTTATGTGTCTGATAACCTGTTATAGTCTGACGCTCTCCGAGAAACTGAGATGCGTTCACTGGACAATCCGAGCTTGGAATTCAGAACACTACCGGCCGCGGATTACCTGCGCGCCAAAACTTAAAACAAAGAGAGATTTTCTTGCAAAAAACAGGAGTTGAGCTTGTGTCTCTGAACACTTGAAGTCAGCGTGTGGAAAAGAGATAGAGCAATGGAAGTCTTGGAGCTTTGTAGCCTGGCCTGCTTCCTGGGGGTCTGCCTCAGGTCCCCTCCAATGAGAAGAGAGAGGTTCCGGGCCCAAGTCCATTGTTTGCCTGTCTTAAGCCTGCGTGGCCCAACACTAGGGTTTAAAAAGACTTCTGTAGAAATTGAAGTATCAACTCAAGCTTTTTACTCAAGTAAAAGTGTACTGGTTTCAAAACTACTTATAGTAGTATAAAAGTTAAAGTAATGTAAGGGGAAAAAAATGCCATTAAGGACAAAAGCCTAGGCCGCGCCACAGGGGCCTATAGTGCACTACCCCACCTCCCCAAAAAAACATTTTTCTAAAGGCCAAAGTAACTATAATGTTATATTAAAATGTTGAAAAATTTGGGATGCACCTGTTTCAGCTGCATTAATGCCCATTGAAAATGAACGCATTTTAGTACAGTGCAAATACATTAAAGAACCATATATGTGTACTACTGAGTATTAACATGTGTTTCATGGAGCGGAAGATATGATGATTAGTTGCCTATAAATATTGTAATGGTGCAAAAAGTCAAACTTCAGAGGTATGTTGTCAATAGCCTTTATTAGAATGTAAATGTATATCCAAGCTGAGCTGCAGGAATCTGTGAGGGCAACAAAATGTAAGATAACAAAACTGGACAAGAAAATTGGTGTACCCCAGGGCAGGCTTAGTAACAATTACCCTTGTATGGTTGTCTTTGCCATGGACATCTGCGTACTAAGCTACATACGTCTGGTGTTTCCTTGCTGGAGTGTGACGTGATTTGTGTCATGTGCAGGTGCGATGGATCGCGTACAAACCAATAGGGTGTCGGAATGGTATATGTTTATACTTCTCATCCAACCACAATCAAATTCACTCTATCCGGATGGCGCGATTTATCTGGATAGGTTTTTTTTTTTTTTTTGTGTGTGTTTTTTTGAGAGACGACAAGCCGGAATAAAAACAAGCTGAAATGAAATAGGAGTAACAAGGCTATTTTTAAAATGTAAGGAGTAGAAAGTACAGATAATTGCGTGAAAATGTAAGGACTAGAAGTAAAAAGTCGGCTGAAAAATAATTACTCCTGTAAAGTATAGATACCCAAAATTTCTACTTAAGTAAGGTAACAAAGTATTTGTACTTAGTCCACAGGCGAGTCCGCAGCCGCACATCGGAGAACAACACAGAGAGCATGACAGGTACTTTATTGACTTTGCGGCTATTTTTAAGCCATTTTAATCAGACACAGCAACAAATAAATTCCAAAATAGGTAACACTTTATATTACGGTGCTTGTAATAAGCATTAATAACAGGTAATAAGTCACTTATAAGTCACTTATAAGACCTTATTAGACTCTTATTAACACAAATAAGACTATATAAGTGTTAATATAGGCATAATTAACACATTTATTATGTCTTATAAGACACTTATAGGCTCTTATTAGAAACGTACTAACACTTTATATACCGTCATAAACATTAATAAGATGTTTATTAACATTAATAATACTTCTTGAGTGTTAATTAAACTATAGATTAATTTATAATTGGCTTGTAAGATATTAATTAACATAAAGAAACTTGTTTATAGACCACTTATCAACGTTACTGACTTTGCAGCTATTTTTAAGCCATTTTAATCAGACACAGCCATATATAAATTAAAAAATAAAATAGACGCGCGGCCGAGTCTACACGGACGCCCGTACATCGGAGAACAACACAGAGAACATACTGTGCCGAAGCACACCTCTCCGAAGTGTGCCAAAGCTAAGGAAGTGTACCGTGCCTGAGCACGATACGGAGCCAAACGAACTGGATTTTAGCGTTGAAGCGTGCTTGGGCAGGGTACGGATGGCCAGTGAGACCGTGCCCTTAGTTACTTGACACCTCTGACCGTAAGTCACACCTTGAGAGCAAAATCTGTCAGATGCAAAGGTGGGGTCTATTTACTCTCTGATAATATGCATGTTTCTCAAGTTGTGCAACACTAGCAGTCCCCCCCATCAGTACAAATCATACTTTAAAGTTGATGACCACATTTGTCTTTAAACATTCTGCACATTGCAATCATGTAACCATCAATAACTGTATTGTACTACTTTGATTGACACTTGCGGACCACCACCAGCTTGGTAACACCTACAGTACATAAGCAGCAGAGTTGTAATCCTGATTTGTGCGCTCTACTCAACATGATGCAACCACTCTCCCTTTGCTGCTAAGCTTACACGAAAAGACTGTGAATAAAACTGAATTCATCCAAGCACTTGCAAAAAT